ATTTAATATACACAGAAATAAAGAGTATTTTAAAATGAATTGAAGTCAGTGCACTTCTAAACTTTCAAATCTGGTATGGTAGCTAAAAAAATGAGACAGTCTCCTCCCTTCTAGGTATCTTCCCAAAACAGTTGAAGACATCAAATTACAGTGACAAATATTTATAGCAGAACAACTCTTAATAGGTAAATCTTAGCAGTAGCTTCCTCTTTTTTTTTTTTTTTTTTTTTTGCAGTACTGAGGATTAAACTCAGGACCTTGCCCTTGTGAGGCAGGCACGGTGCCACTCAGCTAAATTCCCGGCCCATAATAGGTAAATCTTAGAAGCAGCCTTCAAATGATGAGTGGAAAAAGAAAATGTGGTATTTATACACTATGGAGTATTACTCTGCCAAAGAAGGATAAACTTGAGTGACTTATATGAAAATGATGCACCTTGAGACCATAGTGTTAAGTTAAATAATCAGACACACAAGGGCTGGGGATTTAGCTCAGTGGTTCTGCTGTCTACCTCCCAAGCACAAGGCCCTGACTTTGATCCCTGGTACAAAAAAAAAAAATCAGACACACAAGCTTAAAAATCACATGGTTTCTCTTATGAGAAACCTGAAGTATAAATAATTTAAAGAGCAAAATAAAAGAGAGATAATAGGAAACAGGGAAATAAATCTTTTACAAATGGGAAGTAATCCAAAAAAAGAAGGGCTGGGGATTTAGCTCAGTGGTTTTGCCACCTGCTACGCAAGTGCAAAGACCTGAGTTCGATCCCTGGTACCAAAAAAATAAAAAGAAGAAGAAGAATCTGATACTGTCATTGTATGGTAATGTGCTGGGAAACATCATACACTTATTAGTGTATATGCAAGAATCACTCATGCTTGGACTCGAAGTAGATTCCAATCCGTCCTTGCCCTGGCACATGCCAATTACTACACAGAAACTTAAATACAAGGTCAAGGTTGGGCCAGGGATTTAGCTCAGTGGTTCCACCGCCTGCCTCAGAAACGCTCAAGGTGCAGCTCAGTGGTAGATACAGCATTTGCCTACATGTGTGAGGCCCTGGATTCAATCCCCAGCACCAAAAACAAAAACAAAACAAACAACAACAAAACCTAGGACAAAATTAGGACTGCTAAAACAATATAGAGCATTGACTGCAAACCTTTTAGAGCTTTCAGTGAAACAAACAGCTCGCTGAGGCATGCATGCCATAGGTTTGCCACCACTGATACAGAGGATTTTCACTAACACCTGGTGTTTTCTTTTAGTGTACATATAAAATCACAAAATCTTTTTTTGTACCAGAGATCGAACTCGGAACTTTGCACTTGCGAGGCAGGTGGTGGAACCACTGAGCTAAATCCCCAGCCCTCAAAATCTTTTTATAGTACCTAATTATGTTATGCCTATATAGATTTTATAACCAAAATAAAAGCTGAAACTCCATTCTACAGTGCATCATTTTTCTCTAGATCAAGGTGAAATCATTTCCAAGATAGTTTTAAGCTCTCCCCGCCCCGGTAATAAGGATCAAACCTGAGGTCCTCACACTGAGCTACATCCCCAGAGTTTTTTTGTTTGTTTGTTTTTTAATGAAGACAAGATGTTGCTCAATTGGCTATGCTGGGCTCAAACATGCTCCTGCCTCAGCCTCTCAGTGTTGGGATTACAGGTACGTTCTACCACACCTAGCTTAAAGGTACATATTTCTTTAGCTACATTTAATGAAATCAATAACTAATTTTTAATTTCTCAACATTGTAAATAAAACTGGAGCAGATTTAACATATTCATCAATTAGTTAAATCCTGCAGATGACTTCAAGCCAGCCCAGTCTGAGATTCTCAAGATTTTCTGTGTTAGCCCAGTGTGGTGGTGTGAATCTGTAATCCCAGCACTCAGGAGGCAGAGGCAGGAGGATCACCACAAGTTCAAGGCCAGCCTAAACTACACAGCAAGACCCTGTCTCAACAACAACAAAAGATTCTGTGTGTTAATGAATGGATTAGTAGATTTGATGAAAACCTGAGATTTTTTCCTAGTTGCACTGGAATTCCAAGTGCTGTCTGGACCACATTTTAGAATATGTTAGAGAAGTGTAAATTTTTCTAGATCTAATTTCTTTTCTTCTCCTCTCTCTTTCTCTCTGAGAGAGACTCACTCTATAATTCAAGCTTAGAGGCATGCACCACCTCACATCCAGCCTGTTTTGTTTTTGTTACTGTTTTCCAGTAACCTAGGACCTTCACAGTGAGCTTCATCCCCAGTCCTATATTTTATTTTTTGTTTTGTTTTGTTTGTTTGTTTGTTTCTTTCTTTCTTTCTTTCTTTGTTTTTTGAGAGACAGTTTCACTAAGTTGCTAAACTATCCGGGATAGGCTCTTTCTAGTGATCCTCCAGCCTCAGCCTCCCAGCCTGCTGGGATTACACACTCATGAAACAAAGCCCACCTGACCTGAGTGTCTTAAGAGTAGAGATGTAGAAGGGCAAGCAAGGCAGTAGCCTCTAGTGTGATGCTGGAGGGTTTTGTTGTGCTTTCACTATAGGGAGGACCCAGCATGCTCGGTAAGGAGACAATGAATAAATCCATGGGTAGGTGGGTAGGCACAGTGCCAGTAGCAGCCCAGGCCGAGCCTGACCACCATCTCTTCCCCTTGTTGGGTCATTGCACTTTGTCAGCTTACTACATGGTGGGCTGGGAGATCTCCAGGCTTCTTGCTAGTGTAAAAGTAGCAAGCGGGGCCTCATATTCAAAAGGCATCACAATGACAATGGCACCACACTCTCCCCTCCCACAGTGAGTGAAATACCTTGTTTTTGAAACTTTTAAAACTTTTAAAAATTGGGTACAGACCCTAGGCCCCATTATTTACACATTTTTTGAAAGAGTCATTTTTCTGATTTTTTTTTTTTTTGAGACAGAGTCTCCCTATGTAGTTCAGGCTGACCTTGAACTCAATATGTAGCCCAGGCTGGACTCAAACTCACAGCAATCCTCCTACCTCAGCCTTCCAAGTGCTGGGATTATAAGCATGTGCCACCATGCCCAGCCTGATTCTTAAAAGTAATGAATTCTGGGCCGGGGATTTAGCTCAGTGGTTCCACCGCCTGCCTCACAAGTGAAAGGACCCGAGTTTGATCCCTGGTACCAAAAAAAAAAAAAAAACCTTCATTTTGTTTTTTTTGTTTTGTTTTGTTTTGTTTTGTTTATTGCTTATTTGTTTGGCAGTACTGAGGATTGAACCCAGGTGCTCAAGACTACTGCACTATATCTCCAGCCCTTTTTATTTTTTATTTTAGTCAGGGTCCTGCTACATTGCCCAAACTGGCCTCAGTCTTGTGATCCTCCTCCCTCAGCCTTCGGAGCCGCTAGGATTACAGGTGTGTGCCACTGTGCCCAGCTAGTTTGTATGTACTTATTGGCTTAAAGAGCAACTTTAAAAAGTTATGCAGTACCTCATTTGCCTTTTATTTTCAAGAAGATATAAAAACTTACTTTCTCTTTGTTTTTCCTAAGCCACTACTTCCTGGCTGTTCAGGAATTCGATTCTCTTTTTCGGAATCTTTAGGGGAAAGCCTGAAGAATTCTCCAATTCCTTTTTGCCACTTGGGAGTTGGACGTACACAAACTGGATTCCCTCCTGAATACTTATTTTCAGCTGAAAAAAAAACAAACAACTAAATAAGAGCATAGAATACAATCACTATTCCTTAAAGAATTTAGCACCTTAACATCAAACTCTCAAAGATACTAAGTGGTATTATATCCATCTGAAAAGTAATTAGACAATATGACCAACGAAATCTTATTCAGTAAACCTTATTCAATAAAATTCAATTAAATAGTTATGCTTGAAAAAAAAGCTACAACAGAATTTTTACAACTGGAAAATTGTTCATATTTATGCTTTAAAAAAAGCTACAATAGAATTTTTACAACTGGAAAATTGTTCATATTTTGCCCATCAGCAGAACTATTAAAATACTTTTCATAATTTGGTATACTTTTTCCTAATATAAGGTAGTACTGCCAAGTGTGGGTGTGCACACTTGTAACCCCAATACTCAGGAGGCTGAGGCACAGAATTGCTATGAGTTCAATGCCAGCATGGGCTACACAGTGAGTTTTGGACCAACTAAACTACACAGTAAGACCCTGTCTCAAAAACAAAAAGGTAGCTGGGTGTGGTGGTCCATGCTTGTAATCCCAGGACTCAGGAGGCTGAGGCAGGAGGATCACTGTGAGTTTGAGGCCACCCTGGGCTACTTAGTAAATTCAAGGCCAGCCTGAACTACATAGCAAGACCCTGTCTCAAACATAAAACAAAACAAAACAAACAAACAAAAAACCCGGTAGCACCATGTAGAATAAACTGCCAGAATTTTATTAATAAGGTCATTTTGAAAAAAACCCAAAACAGTCGTTTAGTTAAAGCAAATATAAAAAGTAATGTGAAAGTAACCTCAAAAGTAAGTCCTGGGCCACACATGTATAAATATCGAATAGTTTCTCTGGTGTGAGAAACTGAAAGTGTAAATAAGGACTAAAATGTATAATAGGTAATGTGAAATAGGAAGAAAAGGGGCAAAGG